AATTTTGGCCAGATGTCTCTCCATCTTCCTACTCAAGCAGGACTGAGATTTACATTGTTATCAGCTAGTTTCTATTCTTCACCAATAAGAAGAGTCCCATTTTAAGTGTTTCTTCGGGACCAAATCCTATGCTCAGCCTTTCCAATGGAGTATCTCTTTACCTCTACTTAAGTATATGTAGTTGCTATGCTCATTTTATAGCTGGGGGCACAGGCGTCAGAAACTCAGTATTGTATTCAAGGTTACATATCAAGTGACAGAACAAGGATTAGAAGTCAAGGCTGTAATATAAATCTTATGTCGTTAGCCAGTGGTTTGATGCTGCATGCTGTAACATCACACTCATTTATGTATTCTTTTCTTTATAAACACTTTCTTTAAAGAAGGGATCTCATGTAGCTTAGACTGGCCTCAAGTTCCAAATACAGTGGAGGATAACCCCAAATTTTGATCCCCCTATAGTTTTTTTTGACACTTTTTGTTATAGTTGTTCATCAGATAGCATTGCCCATAACTCAGTCTGATCTCATATTTGCTATGTAACTGAGGATGACCTTGAACTTCTGATCTTCCTACCCCTACTGCTGCATTATGGGATGCAGGCCTGTGCTACCATGACCACACTATGCATACTAGGCTTCAAACCCAGAGCCTCTTGCATACTAGGCAATGACTCTACAAACTGAGCTACATCCCTATACTGAGGCTTACTAGTCTTGAGGCAGAGTGTCATTATATAGCCTAGGCTGGCCTTCAACTCCTAATCCTCTTGTATCCAACACCCAAATTCTGGATTTATAGACCTGTGCCACCACATCTGGCTGTTAATTAGTACTTTCTTGAGAAATGAGAGAAGAAAAACTTATCAGACTCATCATATTACCAAAACAAAAGATCATTTCCCCTGGATAGAAATTTGTTCCAAGTGTGAAAGTATAAATCACAAAACAATCCCACACCAGTATGGAATTATGATTAATAAAAAACTTACAGATCACCATCCTAGACAACAGCTCTCTGCGAGATCAGGAAAGAAGTTTAGTAGCCGGAAGCAGAGTCCGAAGCAAGAGAGGGAGAGCAGGGCTACCACTGCTTTTCAAAGAGAAAGAGACCATGCCCAAGTTGGCTGGTATCTTAAAGGCTATTGGCTGAAGGAGCAGAAGGAGCTCCCACAGCACTCCCCCTTTTGTTTAAGTAAGAGAGTTCCAAACCTGATACAAAACAATATACACTAGGAACAGATATGAAGTATAAGATTAGAATTACAATCAGCATAAAAAATAATAAGCAAGGAGCATATGCTAAATGTTTTAATAAACATTCTATCCTAAGGAGTCTAAGTCTTGTATTGGAAATGGCTTGGCTAGATCATAAGAGGACAGTAACTACAACTATCTAATCTTCAACCCTATTGAAAGCCTGAGAAGGGAGATAATATTACTTGAGCAGGCATGAAGTACAATCAAGTAGCTTCCAAAGCTAGCAATATATGACAGAGACAACTGGCTACCTGGGCAATCACCCAAAGTCTCATTTGCAACATTGAAGCAACCAACTTTGGCTGAGGTCTAGAATAACTGACAGACCATTTTCAAAGGCAAGAAATTTTTCAAAACTGTCTTACCCCTTAACCTGTCTTGGCAAAATTTGACAGTCCTGTTTATCCATTTTCAGATACTATATCTTGTCAGTGGCTGAGGAATGAGCATTTCTTTGCCCAAAGGCCAGTTTTTGCCAAGAATAAAACAGGCTCCAAGTGGAGTGTCTTTGGTGCTCAACATTCTCTCAGGAATAGATCGGTAGGGCCAGAAGCAATCATGTCTCATGTCAACAAAACCCTAAGTTATTTAAATGCCATGTTCCACAGATCCTTGAAGTAGTTGAAGATTATCTATCTATACAGAATATAATCTCTATGTATCTAAAAAACCTGATTAGTGTAACTATAAGTATGACAAACATTGATGACTATTGATCTATAATTCTTAATACCTATCTAACTTAAAGACTAAGACAATAGACAGCTGTGCAATAAATGAGGACAATGACCTCCAAATGAAAACAATGTATAAGTACCTTGATCAGAAGTAGAAATGTACAGTGCAATATGGTGTGTATATATACATATATATATATATATAAATGTTTTAAACAGAGGTAGAAGCATACTTGCATACAATATTCAATATAATTTAACTTTGTATCATTATACAAGAATCTATACCAATGTAATTGTCTGTAAACAATAACTCACAAATACCAATCTATTATCCCATCATCTAATTTTTCCTCTTTTTTTTTTCAAAAAGATCCCTGAGCTCATAAAATTCCTCCCTCAACCTTCAACCGTATACCAATTATAATCAACCCCTAAATGATGTCCCTAAGCCTGAGGACAAACTTTGCTGGGAGAGGGAATATCATCTACTAGAATTACTTCTAGCTGTCATGGGGGCGACATTCTTTCTAAGGGATCCTGTGAAAGTAAAATGATGGCTAAATTTCAAGATTAATGTTTGGTAAGATTGCAAATAGTCTCTGGGTATTTTGTGGAGATCGGGCCAGAAAGTTGTTAAAGATGTGCACTATTTCAGCTAACCAAGTTGGAACCTTCTTGTACCCAAAACAGGTCTTGTAGTAGCGCTATCAGTATCATGACATCATATCAATCAGGTGGAGTTGTTGTTATAGGGCCCCACTTTTTTCTGGAAACTTCAAAGATTACTGGAGAAAAATTCATTGTTCATTCTGGAAAACTTAAACATTATTTATATAGACATATACAGATGTATATATTCAATGAAAAGTATGATAAAGACAAAAATAGATATGAAGAAAAGCAAAGATGTTTTCTAAATTCTTTTTTCTTTCTGTCCCACATCAAACGGCACTTGACATGAGACAGAAACTCTGGGTTTTTTTTTTAACAATACGCTTGGATTGAAGGACAGAGCCATTGTCCAACTCTAAAACCAGCTCTATATATTCATAAACATATAATACATACATATACATATATATAAATGTATAAATTGTATCATTTGTACTTACATTTACTTTTTCTCTCTATCTTGATAAGATCATTTTTGAAATCAAAGAATAAACTCCCAGTTTCACTGGTGTTCTCTACTGTTTTGCTGTTTTTTATTTATTTCTACTGTGATAATTTTGTTAGCCCCTCTACTTACTTACATTGACCCTTTCTTAGTTTCTTAAGGTAAAGGATATTTTTTCTATTATTGGTTTTTAATTCTTCCTTTTGATTCTTTTGTAAAATTTCCCCTTTGAACTTCTCTACTCATATTACATTAATTTTGATTTGGTAGAAGATATTTTCTGATTTTCCCAAATTCTGTAATCATCAGTTGTTTAGAAATTGTGTGAGACATTCATAATTTCCTCCTGCTACTCATTGATCTATAATTTCGTGAGGTCAGAGACTGTGTGGCTTTGATCCTCTCAGGTGCAGTGCGGCCTGCATTATGACACTGTATATAGTCTCTGGAGAACATTTCAATTGCACTGAAAAGCATGTGTGTGTAGAAACTGGGACTGACTACAGCATTCTTGTTGTCCGAAAGTGTTGCTTAGCTGGTCTAAAAGCTTTCTGATTTGCTATTCCAACTGTGTTTTCACTTATTGAGAAAGAAATATTGAGCCAACAAGATGGTTCAGTGGGTAAAAGCATTTGCTGCCAAACCCAGCAACCTGAGTTCCGTCCCAGAGACCCACACTATGGCATGTGCATAACCTCCCCGGATACACACAATAAATAAGATTTTGAAATTTTAAAGAAATATTGAAGAATCCAAATATAAATCCCGACTAGTCTCTCCCCTCCATTCAGTGTCACACAGGCTGCAGCAGTGAGGTGGTGCTAGCTACTATACTGACAAGTACCGTGTTCTGTTGTTAGTCCTTTAGTTATTATGAAATGTCCTCGACCGCCTCTAGTGTCTTTTCTTATATTAAAATATGCTTTAACATAGCCTTTCCCAATCTTCTGAGATCATTGTTTGGTTTATCTTTGCCCTGCTTTATATCCTCCCCTCTCCCATTATTTGCAATCTACTTTATGTTAAAGTATTTCTCCATTAGACAAATTCGAATTTAACCTTATTTCCACAAATGATTGGAGATTTTAATTCAATAACACTTGTCTGCCATGCTCTTTTCTTTCATTTTTCCAAGGTATTTTTAATTGTCTTTTCAGTGTGACAAATTAAATTCTGTTACTTTCTTTAAGGTAAGCACTCCTTTTTTTTTTTTGAGAAGATGCGGTATTTTTTTTTAAACCTGTTAGTATAGTTTGGTCTTTTTGGGACAGAATCTCATATTGTAGCCAGCACTGGCTTGTAACTGACACAGCACTCACGCTAGCATCAGACTTCTGACAGCCAACCCTCCTGCCTCGACTTCCTAAGCACATTTTAGAGGTTCGGTTGTCTGTATGTGATGTGTTCTTCCATGTATAGATGTATAAACTTCTCTTTAGCACATCTGACAAAAGAGGGTTAGAAAGAATTAATTCATCTTCGATTGTCTTGAACAAAGGCTCATCTACTTCAAGACAGAGGTGTCACATTTAGTCAAAATGTCTAGTGCTGCAGTAAATGCTATCATTTCACATTTACTCGGTGATATTTAATGAAAACCAAGCACAATCCCACTTAAGAGACACACATTAAAAAAAACCTAGAATGAGCCCTTAATGTAAGTAGTGTTAACTATTTTATTAGACCGTGGCAATTCTTATTCATGTCCTCTTCAATAAGCATTTATTGAACGATTACTCAACAGTTGGCATTGGGGAGTCAATAATGAACGAGACAGAAGCAGTTCTTTCCCCGAAGGAGGTAACAATCAACTGGAAGAGGCCACAGAATAAACATACAAACAAAGCACTTCAAAGGATGCGATCGGGTATGAGTGCATAAAAGAGATTCGAACGGATGCTGAGTCATTGTTTTCTCTGAAGGATGGGTCAGGTACTTGAGAAATAAGCGGGAGTTACAGAGACAAAAGCTTGGCATGCCGAAAAACATCTCATGGTGAAAAAGAATGGCGGACGGGGTTGGGGAGGCAATGTGGTTGACACACAAAACCTACATAGAGGAATTGTAGGTAGAACCCAAGTCACTACCAGACTTATCAGGCTCTGCCCGAGAATTTCGGACTTTTATCTCATAGCCAGTGGGTGCAGCAGAAAGATTTGGGGGAAATGTGACAGGTTAGACTTGTATTTCCAGCACTACTGGCAGTTGGGGAGCAGTGGGACAAAGGATGTAGAGCAAGACGACAGGAATACCGCAACATCCGTGAAGGATGAGGAAGGTTGGACAAGGATACTGGCAGGTAGAACCTCAAAAAGTGGAGGAAGTTGGGTTGCATTTTGGAAGTAGAATGACGGAAAATTCAACTAGCGAAATGGTCAACCAAGTCAAGCATCTGTGTCAATAAGATCTATTAATGAGGTTGGTGACAGGTTGCAAGATGTCCCCACTATCCCTCTGGCACTCGGGCCCCAGCCTTCAAGAAAGGTCCAGGCCTGCGTCCTTGGAGGTCGTTTGTCGAGGAGTGGAATCACAGGGTTTCCTGGGCAACGCCATTGTCGCGCTCAGGGCGGGGGTGGGGGTGGGTAACCAAGGACAAAGTTGAAGAGAATCCGGAAGAGAGGGCGAGTGAAGAGGCGGGGAAAATGGGAAACACGAGCTTCGGCTACGGGGGACGATTCCACGGTTCTCGCACAAGGCCATAGTGGAGGGTGGGAGGAGTCGAGGAGCGTGCCTGTGATTGGCTGCCCTGGAGCACCAGGCCGCTCATGATTGGGCGAGGCGAGCTGGAGGCCCGAGTCTGTGGAGCGCGTAGGGTTCTGGGTAGCCAAGGCCTTGGAAGGGTCTTAACCGAAAGGGGGAGGGGGAGGCCGCCAACAAACGGCTGAGCTCACAATCCCGGCCGCGACCTAGCCGGCCGCCCCCTCCCCCATGGAGAGAGCCAGACCGGAGCCGCCGCCGCAGCCGCGCCAACCGCCGCGGCCC